TAGTAGCTTTTTTTTTTTTTTAATAGAGTTGAGGTCTCACTATGATGCCCAGGATGGTCCTGAACTCCCTGGGCTCAAGTGATCTTCCTACCTCAGCCTCCCAAAGTGCTGTAATTACAGGCATGAGCAACCATGCCAGGCCTCTTTTAGTAGTTTTATAATTTCAGGTCTTATGTTTAAGTCTTCAATCCATTTTGAGTTGATTTTTTATACGGTGTAAGATTCAGTCTCATTCTTCTGCATGTGGATATACTGTTTTCCCAATACCATATATTGAAAAGACTGGGATTCTAAACCACCACCAATCCCTTGTAAAATATCTGCCTCTCTAAAGGTATCTCCACTCATTATTCAAACATTTCATTGCATGAGAACTGGGATCCTTTTAGCTTCCTGAGTCAGTACATTTGGGCATGATTCTCTCTTTATTTACAGAACCATAAAGGCCTGTGGTATACAGCTGTACACTCATATCCACATATTGCATGCACATACATGCATAAGCACATGTGCAACCCACAATTTCTATAGACACAGAATCCCCTAAAACAAATTAGAAATCAAACATACAACTTTCTAGGCTTAGGGGCCTCTTGGGCTTTATGAAGTGTCATTTCTTCATTGCTTTAAAGCACTGGCTCTCAAAGTTTGATCCCTGGACCAGCAGCATCAGCATCATCTGGAAATTTGTTAGAAATGCACGTTCTTGGGCCCCAGCTCATACCTCAGTCAGAAACTCTGGAGGTAGAACCCAGAAATCTGGGTTTTAATGAGCTCTCTAGTAGATTCTACTGCCGACCCAATCTTGAGAGCTGCTGATCTAAAGAAAGCACTGCAGTATCTTTTTCTGAGGAGCACATAGTAAATCCTCACGATGAGCCTCAATTATAATGGACAATTCAGAATAAATACCCTTGTATACATCCTACCCTTTGCACTCTAGACTTCCACTCTGCTTTCTCCTTCTTCCAAAGAGTAAATGTGCTTTTATCTGCTTTTAGGTCTAGACAAACTGAAGGGCAACACATCCTTTGTGAACATGGACCTCTCTCTGGTGGTAGAGTGCATGGACCACGCTCTAACAAGTCTTTTCCCTAAGACTCACTATGCTGCTGGAAAAGATGCCAAAATTTTCTGGATACCTCTGTCTCACATGCCAGCAGTCTTGCAAGACTTTTTATTGTTGAAACAGAAAGCAGAGCTGGCTAATCCCAAGGCAGTGTGATTCAGCTGAGGACAAATGCCTGCTCCAGGCTATGAGATTGGCTGATTTCAAGAGCACATCTCCTTTTCTCCTTACCTGCTCCAACCTGGACTCGTTTAGATTGTGCTTGTTTGGATTACAAAACAGAGTCCCGCCATTGCTGGAGGTGTCCCAGGGTCCCTGCTCAAGTTTTCTCTGAAAAGAAGAACTGGAATGGTACATCACATAGGCAAGTCCTGCCCTGTATTTAGGCTTTGTCTGCTTGGTATGACATAAGGGAAATGGAAAGACTTGCCCATTCAAAATGATCTTCACCGTGGCCTGCCCCATGCTCATGGTCCCCAGCATTTAGAGTAACTTGTGGATGTTGAGTAACATCTCTTATCTAAATATTAAAGATGAGTCAAACATTTTCGTGAGTGGATAGAGATGTTCTGTTATCTTGCTGAAAATGCCTCTGAAGGACTGAAACTCAGTCCTGATAAGCTTTGAAAAGGACAGGAAAACAAAGGGTGATCAAACATTGTGTGACACTGGCCTAAGCTAAGGGCAGCAGTAAAACACTAGATAGAACTGCAAAGAGAAATAAAGAAAAATATGGGAAAAGGAATAAGAGGACTGTAAACAAGAATACATACATAAAATATATGTGCCTTTGTTACATAGATGTTATATATAAATTATAATATAAATTATATATAATATATGATATATATACAAAAATTACATATATAATAATTACATGTATAATTTATACATACACATACATATATATATTCATATATATGGAGAGAGACTCCCCGACACTCAGACAAGCCTTCCTAGAAGGAGCTATGGAGGATGAACATCCTATTCAAGGCCACTGAGAACACCGATGCACACAGTTTTCTGGTGGAAAAATATTATGACATAGTAACTAATCATTCCAAAAGAAGAAAAATGTAGGCCAATTGGTTTATTCTGGTGATTGTAAAAGTAACAAGACCCAGACTATGTGGCATAACTTATACCTGAGAGGGCTGGAAATCCTGCATTTGAGGTGTCTTTCAAGCCCCATGAAGATATAGAGCTGAATAAAAAGGCTCTCTTTAGCCTACAGTTACGGTGGGATTAGACCTGCATCTTGCTTCTATTCATGGTTCTAAACTGACCCTGGGCCCACACCCCATCCAAAAGAAAGAGTTCCCTAAATAGGTGTTTGTTGATTCCAGCAGCCAGAACCACTCACAAATGTTTGTAGAATATTTATAAGAAGAAGCCTGCAGTGGCACAATGCAACATTTTTTGCATAATAATATGGTGTAAAAGAGCTAGAGAAATTAGCTAATGCACATGTGGAAGTGTGCACGCACCCACAGACACACACATGCATATACACACATGCTTAACATATTGCAAAGAAAGTTTGCCTGTAATCCCAGCAGGCCAAGGCAGAAGGATTGCTTGAGCCCAGGAGTTCAAAACCAGCCTGGGTAATATAATGAGATCTTGTCTCTACAAAAAATAAAAACTTAGCTGGGCATGGTAGCATGCATCAGTAGTCCCAGCTACTTCAGAGGCTGAAGTGGGAGGATCACCTGAGCCAGGAGGTTGAGGCTGCACTGAGCTGTGATCATGCCACTGCACTCCAGCCTGGAAGACAGAGCAAGACCTTGTCTCAAAATTAAGAAAATATATTTAATATCTGCTGCTTGAAATCATGTCCAGTTGAAGGTATTAGTAATTCTATTCATCTTTAATCACCTTTCTAGAAATATCTGCTTATAAGGTAATTTTTTCCTTTCAAGTTTACAACATATCGGTGACTGAAAAATAAAATTACAAATGGTGTTAATCCACTTGGACATACATTTCATAATTGTGGAGCAGGATACACTCATCCTTCTTGCATCAAAATGAAAAACAATTACAGAAAGAATGAGATGGAAGAATTCTCAGGCAAAGTTAGCTAACCTGCCTGCGTGGGAAGTCATCCCCATCTTGGACCCAGCCCCAGAGACAGCCACATGTAGATCTCTGGTTTCTTCTTGCTGCAGTTAACCACCCCACAGTCTGTCCTTGGAGGTGAAGTTCACCAATGTTGTTTGCTGGGGCCCCTCCTCACCTTCAATTCACATCTTGGCTTCATTTCACTGCTTTAGAATCCTTGACATGCTGCTCCCTGACTTTCCAGACCTCCCACGGCTGCCAAGATGTTTAGAATCTGAAGGAACTTTCTTTGCCTAACTTCCAACCACTTCAGCCGTATTCTTGGGCCTCTCTAATTGTGTTACTTCCTTTGTTTTGCCTTGACCTGAATTCTTTGTTCATTCCTTCCAGTAGCTACAATTTGTAACTCCCTGTTTCATCCCACCAAAAAATTCTCTCCTTAGGAACAAATGTCACCAGCATGATATTATTGCAAAATAATACCAGATATATTCATGTAAGCAAATTTTAAAGGTTTTTAAAATAAATGAGAAGGTGGGGTGCTGGGAGCATAGAGGCAGAAGTCTCTACAGAGGCACAAGACCTGTGTGGTAGGGAGAAAGGGACGGATGAGCGTATCAGTCACAGTATCAGGCATCTTTGGCGTGGGTTCCTAGACTTCTCTCCATCTTACCATAATCACTTCTAATTCACTGCTCTTTTGGGAGAAATACCCATCCAATTTTTATCTGTAAATATTTGAGGAAACATATTTTGACTATGATAGACATTCTTCAAAGCACTGGCCTATAATAAGGAACATAATGGATGCAATTCCTTCCTTCCTAGAGCCTTTTGGATATAATCCAAGGCTAAGGCCAATACTCAGGAAGGCTTAGAGGGCCTTCTCTAGGGATGCGTGGTCAAAATGAACACAGACGTTGTCCTCCACCACATCTAGCTTGAAGCATTTTTCCTCACTTAGTTTGGAGAGACCAAGAGAACCTCCCAAACCCTCCATCTGATCTGATCCAAACATCCAAGTGTGTCCTTCATCTGGGCGTCCACAACACATTCCAATCTGGAGTTGTTATCTTACCCACCCCACAGATGTTTTCCCAGTCCAGCACCAACTATTGTCAATTTCATCTCCACAGGGATCTGGAGTCTGTCTACTTCTCTTCACCTCCAGTGCGATCACATGTTCAAGCTGCCGTCAGCTCTTGTGTCTACTACAGCATCTCCACCCTTGTGCACCATCAGTGACTTCTCCTCATTGCAGTCAGAATTATTCAAAATTAAAATCCAATCATTCTACTCTTTCTGTCGCTGCTTTCTTAAAATCTTCAACGTGTTCCCTTTGCACTTTGGCTGAAGACTAAAATGTATGATGTGAACCCTATTGCCCCATACTCCTCACTAGCCTCACTTTATAGCACTATTCTCTGCACTTGGCCCCCTCAGCACCTTTCCCACGCTTCTCCCTGGAAAGTTCCATCTTACCTGGCTTTCTAGTTTCTTTGTCCTGCAGATCTCAACCACATTCTCAGGGAAGCCCATGCAGTTTCAAATTCTGACCACCAGCTCTTTATCCAGGTAGGTTCCCATCTCGTACACTCTCACTGCGCCCTGTAATTTGCTTCAGGAGTCTCATCACAGTCTGTAATTATACATGCATATGGTTAGTTAATATTGGTCTCCTGAATCATATCGTAAGCTCCATGAAATCAGGAATAATGATGCTTTGCTTATCTGTGTATTCCCTTACCTAGGACATCATTGGCACACAGATCAATGTTCAATAGACATTTGTTGAATGAACACAAAAATTAGTCTGGATTAGTCTTTCTAACTAAGGGTCAATTTATTACTCAAGATCAAGCTGGTCAGGTGCAGTGGCTCATGCCTGTAATCCCAATACTTTAGGGGGCCAAGGCAGGAGGATCACTTCCAAACAAACCTGAATGACACAGAGAGGCCCCATCAACAAAAACAAATTTAAAAAATAAAAATTAGGCCGGGCGCGGTGGCTCAAGCCTGTAATCCCAGCACTTTGGGAGGCCGAGGCGGGTGGATAACAAGGTCAAGAGATCGAGACCATCCTGGTCAACATGGTGAAACCCCGTCTCTACTAAAAATACAAAAAATTAGCTGGGCATGGTGGCGCGTGC